GTCTCGAAATTTGTGTTTTTTATACCATTTTCCACTGTAGCCAGATCGGACATAATAATATTTTTTGGTATYTAAATAAACACCAAATATTTATTACGATTATATTTAAATTTTTCTTTTAATTGTATGGTATATTCAAACATCTGACTTTTGCTCTTACAAATGCGCAATTAAAATATTTAAGCTTGTTGGCTCGCAATTAAAACTGCTTTTAATCATCTTCAATTGAAAATTAATACTTTATGCATCACATCACAAAACCTTCATAAAATAKATTTGAATTTCACTTTTACTTTCATTTTTGTTACTTTACATTTTGACAGGCCTTCCTCGGTGAGAACGAACTATACAAAAGCTTACTTCGAACTTTGCTGTCAAAGCAAATGTGTGAAGCCAARGGAAACGAAAGTTGCATGTGAATCAGTCATTACGTTCCGAATTTCAAGTGACAGGAGTTGTTTTAAACAAAACTAAAAACAGCATCAAAATAATTTGTTTACAACATGCCGGTGATCCCAGTTTATCAAAAATCAATATTATCAAAGTAATKCACTCTTAACGAAAGCAAAGAATCAAAATAATTTGYTTACAACATGCCGGTGATCCCAGTTCATCAAAAATCAATATTATCAAAGTAATRCACTTTTAACGAAAGCTCACTATATTGTTWAGAGTGCTAGGTAGCTGTTAGTARAGTTGACAGTACTTGGCAGGATAAAAATCCGGGTCCGTTCCGGTKACGTAGACTYGGCTGTCGTGAGAACGTTAAACCCACTGGTATAGAGTTGAAAACCTTAATACCACAATATATATTTTTTAATGAAATTTATGTTAGTATATCTCATTGCAGGAAATATACGAAAAACTAAAGTTGCTGATGATTAAATAAAAAACAATTATACTGYAATTCTTATGTGTTTTTGTTTTAAGTTGAAGGAAAAGCAAGTACACAAATTTTTTAATCAATTTGGAATTAAAATGTCGAACTAATTTGACCGTTTAAAATTACTTAATAAGCTAAAAATAAATTATATATGTTACGTAGACGACCATATTATATAAAAAAACTTTAAGCGCACCTGAAACATGAAAAACAAAACCAAATGGATGTRTATTTTCAGTCTCCATTTGTACATYGTAAGCGTTGTAAAACAACTTCGTGCTTCCTTTGCCAATTCTTAAGAAAACTCTCCAACGCCCTGAATGAACGTTCTTCAGATTTCAGCTGTTTCAAGGCTGCATCACGCTGATCGGATAATATACTATTGTCAACACGTATTTGTGTCAATCTTTCCTTAGTAAAATTGTGTCGCAATAAAAAGCTGGCGTCGCCGTTTGCTCTGGCATATGGCTGGTRTCTTAGTTGACCWCGTAGCTGTGTCGGCAWAGCTGACTGTTCCGCGGATTTTGCCATAAACGCAGCTGGCTTTTGTATTATTTTGGTGGTTTGCATTTCCGTAATAGGTAACTCTTTGTTTATCAATTCTAATGGTATCTTTGCAAATAGTCGCTCTATTATCTATGAAACAAACGCATTCTTTATTGTCTAGTTAATGATATAAGTTAATGCTTTTTACATACCAATTGTTGATGAGTAAGCAGTTGGTTTTTCTGACGAGGCGCTAATAGGCAGTGTATTAATGGGTATAGTCTCCAGTGGCTTTCTTTATCTTTTTCTTCCATTTCCAAACGACGACGTTCGGCGCTATWAAATACGAGCATGCAAGGAAATTACTATTAATTTATTTAAAAATCATACATATAATTTATTAATACTAACATGTATTTATTTTTAAAACTGTTTATTTTACGGCGCACTTCCTGAGCGTTGACAAAAAACCCATATTCGCGCATACCCTCTGATATTGTACGGAAAATAGGTATATTTGTCTTTAAGGTCGTCACTTCATTGCTATGAAGTCTCCATAATTCGACCAAACGCATCTCCTCCCAACTATTCCAGTATCGCGACCGAAGATGTTTTGGTACTATTTCGTTGTCCTCGCTGGCAGTTGTTGATGTATTTTGTGATTGAGCCGGTGGTTGGTTTTCGTCGATTATCTCCATGTCGTAATTGCTCATCTTATGCTATAACCGCGTTAGAATGTACAATTTTGTTATTTTTGCTAGAAATATATTGTTAAAAACAATTTTGTTTTGTGAAATACGCTCACAACACCACAAAATAAACAAATGTCAGTAAAATTTTACTTAGGTGAGTATTGCCAAGCCAAAATAACCAGATTATATTTTATGTTTGTTCGGAGCACACCGAAGGCAATAACACTAGATATTGTTCTCTTAATATTGTTTTCGCATTGTGTGTTAAAAAGCAGAAAACTTATTGTACTTTTTTTAATAAAGGTAATTTTTATTAAAATCGTATGGCTCAAGAAGTCAAGACTTTAAAAGTTGCAAATCATAAGGCCTTTACCTAAGAAAGGAATCGCATGTACACAAGAGTTTCGCTTTCTGTTATTAGGTCTTGAACTGATAGTTCGGTTGTAGCGAGAAATCGTAAAGTAGCGGTATGAATAAAGAAACACGATTTGAGTACGTGACTAATGTGCCAGCGTTGCCATTTCTCCGATCATAAAACTTTTCTGATGGAAACAAAACATAAAATACTTTTTTATTTTTATAAATGCAGTGTGTTTTTTAAAATTTATCAACTTTTAAACATTAATTTTTCCTATATATTCTATAATTCTTCCTTGGTTTTTCYTTCCAAGGCTAAAATGCAGTTTTCCGATTCTCGCATTTTGTCATATTCGTAACGAATCATAAACGTCAAACTTTCGTTCGTTTCTCCCGCTTCGTCTTTAGCGACAGTTGTGCAAAAAGTACAAAATTTTATACAGAAAATCTTGCACAAATTATAATTTGGCAAGAAAAACCTAAATTCTATTATTAAAAATCGGTAATTGTACTTCAGCCGATTCAGATGTTGTCTGAGGAAGAGGCGGCAATGGACTACGATGAGTTGACATTGAATCCATTACTAGCAGAAATTGAGGCCGAAACTGATTTGGACTCGAAAAAAGAGAAACAACGCCGCTATTGGACGCCAAAGGAAGAGCAACGCTTCTTTGAGATTTGGGGACGTGATAATTGGCGTTTAACGCGTCACGGAAAGAATACAATTTTTTTTGCACAATGGGCTGTTGAGTTGAAGGAGCGCTTTGATATAGAAGTGAAACCCGAGGAAATACAAGCGAAAGTAAACCAGACGCGCGCGAAGTTCAGGTAAACGTTTGGCGATTACGTCAAGTTCCATTGCTTAATGTTAATATCTATGTTAAACTTRTTACAGACAAGTTAAGAAGCAGATAGCTGCTGATAAAAATGCTGTGCGTTGGAAAAAGTTTGCCATTATCGATAAAATTCTTAAGAATCAATATCGCCCTAAAGACGCCGAACCTGTACCGAAAGAGGCATTGGAGAATAATCGTGACATCGATTTAAGCGAAGTACCGTCGCCGCCCTCGCCACCACGTTCAGGACGACAGTCTTCACCSAATAGTATTACATCGAGTTCCAACACGCAAGAAGCAACTAATAATGCTACGACTACGGATAATAACAACACTTCGGTATCATTGGATGTACCGGCTAGCACAGAAGACATAGATATCAAGGTATGTAGAGAGTTTTTTTGGTGCCGATACATACATACATATATRCATATTTTCACTTTTATGCAGAGTGAATTTCTTACTGACTCCAGCATCACGACTTCGCTGTTTAATGCAAGCACTGAGCTTTTCAGCGATCCAATCGACGAGGTAAAAGCCGAATACCCTAGCGATTTTCACAGTTTTGGTAACTATCCACAGCCAAATCATTTCGAAACACAGCCACCAACTCAAGATGATGACGATGAGGAACCACAGCTGCACACTTTACAAACACCACAACAATTGTTAGAAGAACAAAAGCAGAAACAACAACAACTACAGCAGCAGCAATACCAACAGTATACACCAGCTTCATCGACGGCACCACCCCCGGACACCACAACAGCCACCAATACGCAACTACTGCAAACTAGTTATGATCATAGTAACACATACGCCAATCAAAACCATTATGCGGCGACACCTACACCAACACCGACGACAGCTACATCATCTACCGCTAATCCAGCATATAATAGTCAATACGCCGGTAGTAATAATAACGCTACCAACAATAGAACTAGTGGTGGTGGTGCCGCACCAATGCAACCACCAACGTCGGGCCTGGGTCGCGGTGCACCCGGTCAACCTCGTCGACGGCGCACATCGCACGCCAATAACCTGCTAGCAGCTGCACAGCCTGGCGCCGAATCCTTAGAATCTATGTACCTAAATGAGGTGCGTAAAAAGAATATTTTACTWGCGGAGCAGTTGGAAATCGCACGCAAGCGTATGCAATTGGAGGAGCGTAAAGTGAATCTGTTGGAACGTTTCTTTCCACAATGTTTGGAGATGCAAGAGCAAATACTTGGGAAACTCAATAGCAATACTTAAGGCGGTGTGAACGTGACATTGTAAGGTATTATGTGAAGTGGAAATGCATGTGGAAGTTTTTCAAATAAGTTAAAGAATAAGTGGAAATTGCAGCAAATAATAAAGATGTGTTTAGTTCAAGTAATTCAACGAGAAATTCAACAGAATTTCGCATAAAATCATGTGAAAATTGAGTTTAAAACAGCGCTACKTCGAAACGGTGAATGTGAGTGTTGTAAAAAGTGCGACTCCCGCATTTTGCTAAATTAATAAAAAAGTAATTATTTCTAAGATGCTACTTTTAATTTGGCCATGCAAAATACAGTTTAATTTGTTTCTTATTGTAATCTTCTCTTTTTTCTTTTCCACAAGTCTTGTCGTGAAGTGCAAAAATTGTAATTCTCGTGTGTCGGTACCAGTAATTCTTAGTCTTTTTTTTTAAATAT